TCTCTTCTTTATTATTATTAAATGAAGAAGTGAAAAGAAATCCTACAACTTCACGGCATTTGAAATATCCTGAGCTAATTCTATGTTTAAAAACTACATAATAATCATTATCAAAAACATTTATTCAGTTTAGACTGTTACAAGCACCCATGAATGCCTAGAAGCTACGCCATTAGTTTGTAAATCTACGACGGGAGACCTTGTACTGAGAAGAACCGGCAAGAAATTCAGCAAGGGCTGTATTTTCTCCCTATTTTATTATTTATAGAGTGGTCAAGTTAATTAAAAAAAATACATCAGAGATGATACATGAAGTCACCTTTCATTACATAATTATTAATTGTACATTACTTGTCCATCGAAAGCAGAACATGTTTTCGTTTTGGTTCTGGTGTTTTCAGAGGTTAGCTTTTAGAGGTGGGGGAGCCCCCCCCCTCTAATAGTTAGAGTTAGACTCGAAGTATATTTCCCTAGCAAATTCGTCTAACATTGCCTCTATTTATTTTACTGTCCTTATTGATGAAGATGAGCCTTTGATGACGGGGCCGGCTGTCTGAAAAATCACAGCAGTTATTAGTCGTACATTTACAGAAAAAAAAATATTAGGTACTGAATAAACACCTATGTTCCCCTGAGAACAGATAAGGTCTGTATTTTTTTTTTTGGTTTTGTTTCAGTATGTTAGTAATTGTGAGCATCTCATATTTTCTTTTGTAATCACGTCTGTTCATTTATTAACCTTTTTGTAATATGTGGATCGTCGTAATTGGTTTTCAAATTGTACATTATTGATTGTAATTCCAATATTTAGATAAGCTGTGTACTGTCCCTTAAATATTAATAAAAAGAAAATGATCAGCATGATCCAACATTTGCCGTTCTTCATATGTTTATGGCAGATTTATTTATGTTCTACTTATGAAATAGAAAAAAAACGCTCACTAACACTTATTCTTAGTATCATAAAATTTAACCCAATGCATCCTGCTCATGATGACGTACGGAGCCAAGACGTGGCCGATAACGGTAAGGTTAGTCCACCAAATTAGGGTCGCTCAGCGAGCTATAGAAAGAGTTATGTTGGCGATTTCTCTGAGAGATCGGATCCGCAACAAAGTCATTCGCCAGAGAACTAAAGTTACAGACATAGCTTAACGGGTAAGCAAGCTGAAGTGGTAGTGGGCTGGTCATATATGCCGTAAACCGGATGGCCGCTGGGGCAGACGAGTCACGGAGTTGAGACCGCGAATCGGCAAACATAGTGTGGGGCGTCCTGCGACTCGATGGAGCAACGACATCCGAAAAGCAGCAGGTAATGATTGGTTAAGGAGAGCTGAAGACTGAGCTCAATGACGTGCCATGGGAAAATCCTATTTCCAGCAGTGGACTAATGATGATGCTAGTAATTAACAGCTAATTAGGTTATAATATGTACAAGTTTTACTTCACAAATATCATGTTCTTAACTTCGTTTTGATTTACAATTAGGTTTAATATATTTTAGTAGTAAATTCAAAATATTTTTTATGACTAAAGCAACTAATACACACGAGACGAAAAAGATTACACCTAGAGCTATAAGGACATCAGCCATGAGGTATTCAGCCCAGGAGATGTTCGCAGCTGGGGAGCGTAAGTGACGAGCGCCTTTATGTCGTATGACGTACTCCGTCCACCACACAGCGCGCTCCATCGGGGCCTGGGGCTGGTCGTTCATGATTTCCTTGAGTTTCCTGATGTTTTCTCTATATCTAAAAGACAAATTAATGTAAACTTTATTACCGTCATAAAATTTATATCTTATGATTTTCAGTTATTGGTGATATATCATTGTATTACTTTCCCATGTCATTGTTTGATAGTATCCCGTATATTCTTTATCGTTAATGTAAAATGAAGGTAAGACGTAATGAAATGAAAAGTCATTTATTAAGTCTAGGTTGTTAGAAGAACTTGTGAAGGTCAAGAAGCTACGCCATCGGTTCGCAAAACTACGGCGGGAGACCTTGTAATGAGAATAACCGGTAAGAAACTCAGCAAGGGCTGCTTTTTTATCTCTGTATTGATATATACAGAGTCGTCAAGTTGAAAAATGACTTCAGGGATACTGCTGAAGTCCCCTTAAATTACATCATTTAGAATAAAGATATATAGTTACAATAAATTTTATATTTAGTATATAGGAAGCGGCATTAGAAAGGTACTATATTACTAAGCATGCAACTGCTTGCTGTTTAAATGTAAAGAAAATATAACTAGAAAAAAATATAAAAAGAAGAGTATTGATAACTTTGTTAAACAATGCAATACTAAATCCCAGAAATTAACCTCTTAATTTTTGGAGCCTGAATCATGGAACGGCAAGCTTGTTCTTAAATGTCATGTTAAAGTTATGGGTTTGACTTTTTTTGCAAATGCGTCATAGTTTTTTCTTATATATATTATATTTTCATAAATGTATTGCGATGCCAATGTTAAAATATTAATTTCTTTAATTTTTTCTCTAAGAGATTCTCTTGCCTTTAAATTATATATGACGCAAACAGCTCTCTTTTGCAGTATGAAAACTGCAGTACTTTTGATATTAGCAGCTGAGCCCCACAACAAAAGGCCATATGACATAACGCTATGAAAATAACCAAAGTAAACCAATATTGCCGTTCCAACATCAGTTAAGAGTCTTATCTTTTTAACAGTAAAAGCCGCAGAGCTCAGTCTACTTGATAAGGCATCAATATGAGGATCCCATTGCAGATGCGAGTCTAAAGTAATACCCAGAATCTTTGTAGAATCCACTAACTCTACAGGCTGGTCATTTATTTTTATACAAGTATTAACCTGCCTCACATTAGCTAGAGTAAACATTTTGTTTTACTAGAGTTTAGTTTTAATTTATTTACCGTAAACTAGTGAAGGACTTCAGAGAGAGCACAATTTACTTCGTCACAATCATTTTCTCTTCTAGCTTTAAACACTAAAAAAGTGTCATCAGCAAATAGTACTGTATATGTGTAATGTGTATCAGCAAATAAATAAGGAAAAGCAATGGGCCCAATATTGAACCCTGGGACACGCCCATAGAAATGGGTGCTCCTGTAGACTCAGCTTCATTTATAACTACTTTCTGAATCCTAGCGGAAAGATAAGACTGTAACAGACTTAGTGAAATATTTGATACACCATAATGCTTCATTTTATTTAACAACGTTTCATAGCTAACGTAGTCAAACGCCTTTAATAAGTCGAAAAAAATGCCAATAGTATCATGCTTACTCTCCCATATATCAAAAATGTGTTTCAGAAGTGCAGTTCCAGCATCAGTAGTTCTTTTGCCTCTAGTGAAACCAAACTGTTTTAAATGAAGTAGCTTATTTACAGAAAAGTGTGCTAGTAATTGGTTGTAAATTTTTTCCTCAAATACTTAGCGCTGGTAATATAGATATAGGCCTAAAATTGCTGGGATCTGATTTGACACCAGCCTTAAAGAGAGGGATAACTTTAGCACACTTCATTAAATCTCTCGCACATCAATACATTTGTTAAATATACTGGCCAGTTGAGGCGCAATGACAATGATAATCGGTTTTATTATGTTGGTATTCCCCATAAATCCTCTGCCTTTTTAATAAGAATAGAATTGAAAGATTTTATAATACAATCACTACTGATATGTCTAAAATGAAAATCATTATTGCACTTATCAACACTTGACTCAAGGAGGGTCATTGCGAACCTAGAACAAGAATTAAGATTTCTAGTTGATTCAAACGGTGCACTAGAAAATAAATTTTCAAAAGTGTTGGCAACGGTATCGTTTGTCCGAATAATCTTGTTATCTATTTTTAAAGAATATGTGTGTTTGTTAAATTTATTTCTTCCAGTTTCACTATTAATTATATTCCAATTTGTCTTTATTTTATTATCTGATAGACAAAGTTTTTGGATAAAAATTTAGTTTTCGCTATGGCTTTTGGCAAAAGTTTTTGAATAGTTTTTGACATATTGTATAAACTTAGGATCAGATAAGGTTGCTTTGAGAGCATATAATTGATACAACTTATTTATACTTTTAAATTAACTATTTAAATACCAGGTGTGGCCCAATCACTATATTTCTTTTTAGAGCTATGTCATATAATTAATTTGCGTTTGAATATTTTATTAAACTTTTTTTAATTCAATTGAATAAAAACTGGTAAGTACGATATTTTATGATAAACACTATCTTTAAATTTATTTACACCTGTTTGTGTAATTGGTGTATAAGTTAGGTCATGTTTGTGTGAAGCATGATGGTGTTCAAGAGAATACGTACTTTTTTGAAGTGTAAACTTCTTTAGCGGCGTTGTACACTTTTTTGTATGGGTAAAAAATGTTAAACTCTCGTCAGGACACGTGGGCTGTTAGCGTCATGACACGTGGCCTGATCGGAGATCTAACGAAAACAATAAAATTGGAAAAGTTGTTGACTTTCAAAATATTGGACGAAACAAAGTAATGTTTTATTTTAACGTATTATAATAATAAGTCTTTATCTAGACGTCCAGGCGACAGCTTTATTGTGAATAAAATGCATTTTTTTACAATAGATGTCGCTAAATGCGATTAAATGTGATTCATGTAAGTTGATTTTTTTACAATAGATGTCGGTTAAGTGCGCTTTAACGTGATTCATGTTAGTTGATTTTTCTAAGAGACATACTTTTTTAATGTAATATAAATTGTCATGTTTGTGTACGATAATGCAATAAATAAATAATGTATTCTACCCCATAAATGATAGTACTTTTATACTGATAATTAAAGCAATTCGTTTAAAATTATTCCCTAATCATTCCAAAATATCAAAAATGCACAACGTTAATATTCAAGTTTTCAAATCTGCCAGCACTCCCGGAGTGCAACCGATCGTTTTTTTATGTTGGCTTACATTTGCAAGCGTTCATGATCTTATGGCAGCTATATTACTTTAGTGTAGCTTTTTATACTATGTAACAAACCTTCTGTTGTTTAAAACTTCTTCTATTCCTTTGAGCAACGTTTTAGCATCTAGGGTCAACGCATCTAGTCTAATTCCAATACCAAGTTCCACGTGTTTGTGAGCATTGTAATATTGTTCTCCTAACATAGGAATAGTGACCAATGGCACACCAGCATCAATGGCTTCGTCAGTAGATTGTACGCCTCCTTGCGTTACAAATAGCTTAACGTTGGGGTGTGCTGAAAATAATTAATAAAATAACTACACCCTTACTACCCTTGAGTTTGTATCTTTTTTTATATTTCATATTAGTTTTGTCGTTATATTCTGTTCTTTATTTTGTCATTTAAAAGGCATTACCTATAAGATTAGTGATGCATAAGAAATTACTTAGATAATCAACATACAGCTGAACTTTTACTTATCTTTTTATTTCTACCAACTTTAATTCATTCTTAAAGCATATAATTTTTTATCAAGCTTTGAAAACAGATGGAAAAGAGCATCAGGTTGGTGTACTTTCTATTTATTAATTTGCGAATTTATTATTTATATCATGAAAAAAAATATATACTTTGTATATTTACATAATGACTTAAAAACATGAATGATAAATTTCCGTCTGCAAAGCAACCCACTACAGTAACTAGCATATAATAACCAAATAAATCAATCATTATATTATTATACAAAACCAAAGGTTACCTAACAAATCCCTTTGTGGGAACCATTTTTGAATCTTAACATTTTTTGGTATTTTCTTTGTGTTGTCTTCATCAAATTTAAATAAAATATCGTAGGGAAGCGCTTCGAACGCACTCAAAAATGCATTAAGCAGTTCTTTGTCCATATTAGATGGTTTCACGTTAGTTCCCAAGCTGACGTAAATCACTCCAGTTTTTGAAAAGTCCAAGTATGATTTTAAATCCTGCGAAAAATTTTCTTTGAAGAGATGTCAGGTTATATATAAAGCTTTAATTAATAAAAACATAAAATCCATGATAACTTTAAATCACAAAGACTAAATTTTCAGATCAGATCTGTAATCAATACTAATATATAAATTCAAACGTGCGCCTGAGGTACCTTTTCATGCTAAAACCGATTTCGATGAAAGGAGATTGTTCAGCTTCCATACATGTTTGGCCTAAAGATCAATAATCATGAAAAATTGTTTCCTAGATTCGAAATTATATATAAATTACTGTAGAAACGTATATTATTGACGGACACCCCTGAGAACTTCTATAAACCATATACACTGAACTTATTAAAATAATAAAAAACAAATAAGTTATATAGTAAACTAGGGAAATCAAGCCAAGTACCGAAATTATGGATTAAATTCAGGTATATAGAGCATGTAGATTAACAGATAGTTGCCTCTTTTAAAAGTTAATGCATAAGAGTAACTTTTAAAATCAGGTGTCATCTATGCATTTCCGGTTATAATAAGGTACTCTGTGACAGAAACTGTGTGATGATTGTGAATGAGCCACAGATTAGAGAGAATTTTTAAACTCTCGTTAACCAAAGAAAGCTAAGAGATTTAGGTTAATTAGCCATATATTCAGTAGCTTCATTATTTTTGTCATGTTTTAAATATAACCATATTTAAGATTTTTAGTGTATCACACCTTATAATTTTATTTATTTATTTATAGTCAGGCAGCGTAGGCCCATAGATAGATACCATAAAGTCTAACATATATACAGATTATAATGTGTTTATGGAGGTGTTTGGCGAAAAATGTATGGCACTCAAGGCAATAGACTTTATGATGTCGCCTACCATCTGTAATAATTGTCTGAGCACATTTGCATGTAGTAAAAATGATAATATAGTTGTGGATATTAATACTACACTGTGGTAAAAAAAAAAAAAAATCGATCTTTACAAAATAGATTTGTTATTATGTTAAATGAACAACTTCGATCAGTCTTTGGCTGAATGTACTACACCCATAACCATTAAAAATTATTCGTATATTTTCCAAACCGGTAAAATTAAAAGTCCTTTTTAAAGTAAATATATTATACAAAGGTGTCCGTTGAAATGACTGTAAATTAAATTATAAATTAGGCCAAGAATTACCGTATATGTCAATATTTTTTGTGTATTTGGGCCAATTTGAGCAATCTCCTTTTACATATAATTACTTTGAGCCTCAATAAGGGACAAATACATAGATTTTATCCCAAAAATCACCTTAAAAGGAAAAACCAAGTGCGTGTCGTGCCACGCTCAGTGTAGGGTTCCACAGTTGCCTGTAGTTACCACATTATATTTGAGCTTTATTTTCTATATCGGAAATTAGAAAAACCAATTAATATCAATCTATACAATATCTCAACTAAAATACCTAAATCAAAGTCAGACTACGTCTCAAACTCAAAATCAATAATAAAAAAAAACGAATGCTAACTCGATTTTTTTGGTTTCCTCCCAGGCGGGGGAGCGGGTGTGTAATCCTCATGGATACCCTACAGCCGGCTGCAAGGTTATGTCCTACTCTTACTAAAACACACCCGTAGTTGATGCTTATAGCCAGAAGGGCCTTACAAGCTTCATCTGAAGCGATCATCCTCTGAGAGGGGTGATGCGGTATAACCACCAATATTTTCAAGTGCTTATATACTTTTTGACGTGACAACGTCTTAAATTAGGTTGCGGCTGGGAGTCACTTATGAAAAAGTGTAACGCTCGGTAACGTTACGATGAGTCTCTCGTGTTAAGTTTAAGTTTACATGTACAATGTTTTAGTAAACAAAATATATTTCTATAGTTAAAATTTGTGCAATTCTTATTTTCATTCAATTCCTTGTTCCTATTGTGCAATTTAATTATATTCATATCAATAAATATTCTACCGAGAAAAAGACGTTGTCACGTAAAATCTTCGCCCGTAAAACCGACTTTACAGGCAACCATTTTTTTTATAAAAACATAACGTTAGCGTGACTCAGAAGCCGTTACCGTTGGTACTCGCGGTAGCGAGTATTTTATTGTGGGTTTGAAATAGCGAATCAAATCAAACCACGAAGACGAAGTTGTCAAAGAATAGTGAATGTAGTGATATAATAAAATTAATAATCATGTATTCCAATTAGTTATAAAAAAAGAACAGAAAAAAACTCTTTGGTAAGAGAATCCCAGTTATTCAATGTTTGAGTAGTTATTACATGACATCACAGATAGTAACAGTATTGTGACAATAATTATTCATTTCAAATATAGGCAAAGAAATGGTTTATATTATTGGTAATATTGTAACAAATCTCATACCTGTGGCAATTCCTTCAGTGGTTGCAAATGTAGTGGTCCTACGAAAGCTACGTTGGGGGGTACTGGTCGATTGTTGCAAAATATTGGATTGGAGTTTATAAAAAGAAAATCAATGTTATTTTTTAATTCGAAAACTGTGGGAGTATTGGGACCAAATTTGGCTTTAAGTTGTTCATTTTCATATTTTTCAACTTTCTGCAAAGTCTTCATAAATTCGTATTCGAATTTTGTTTCTTGTATTTTTTCGATAAGACTCAAGTTGCCAAAGTTTCCTCTCATTATTGTGGGATAAAATATGGGATGCCTAGCTACAGCACCCATGATTTCGTAACTTTCAGGAACACCGTGAAATGAGGACACGAGAATTGCTGGAGCCTTGAATATCTCGGTAAATATAAGGTGATAATTTAGCAAACGTTCTAATAAAATTAAGTCAAATCGTTGACTTTTATCTTGAATTAGTTTTTCTACACTCTCAGAGTGCAATGCGTCCATGTACAACTCTAACATACATTTATAAACATCGAATCTCAAGACAGTTTCTGCTTCTATTATAACACCACGTTTGTAAAAAGTCATATCATTTTGAAACTCTTTCAATTTTTCATAAGTAAAGCTAACATCAATTTCAGTGTACTTGTAGGGTGCCTTAGTTTTGGGAAAAGCCGGATCTGGTGTTATGACAACCAATTCGTGTCCTCTTTTTGCAAGTTCTAATGTTAATGCTCTAAACACATATTGATGGCTTATAGAAGTCATTGGAAATACGCCTAATATTCTGGCTGCATCCACAACCACAGCTAATATAATAGCAAAACAAACAGTGCTCGATATGTTCAACATTGCGTCACTTTTTAAGAACTAGTTTACTATAACAATGTAGACTTTATTTATATACTTAGAATGATGAACCAGATTGATGATGATGAACACGTAATTTATACACGGGCACGATTACCAGAAGTAAAAATAAAAAATAATTCCTCGCTCCAGAAAAATCTGTTATGAGATAATTCTGTAATTGTGTAACTATCTTCAAGATAAAAATTCTAATCATCATGAATTATAGATTTAAAAAAACTCACGGAAGCTTACGATTTAGATAGAATCACCCCTGATCAAAAAAAAAAATGCTTTGCGGATTATTCCATTTTATAAATTATTTAAATTTTCTACTCTTTTACTTGCTTTACAAAACTTGCATCGGTGAGTTTTGTTTCCTTTAAAAATATTAAAAAATGAGAAAAGTATTTCTTCTATAGGTGAAGCCGCAACATATATTTATAGTAATTTTGTAGTTATCACTGTACTTAAGAATCAAATATCTACTAAGCTGATAGAAACTTGGAACATCAATAGTCTAATTGTTATATTCCTTATTCTGTCAATATTTCCTAAAACACGTCTATACACATTGAAGGAACATTAAACAATACCGTTATCTGTAATGTGAAGTTCATTTCCTCACTGCAAAACACAATTTTAATAGCGTCATTTCACTTTCAATAACGACTAAAATGTAAACCATACCACTAGTCTCATTAAAATTAGCTGCTACGTGCAACGTGACTTTCAACTCTCGATAAGATAAAAAAATTGTAACTTATGTCATTAAATGTTAGTAACGTTCTTTTTATTCAGAATAACTGATTTGCGTATATAATATTTGTCGACTTCCGTGTGTACGCCGGGTTTCAAGGTGTCACCTACTCAGAGGTTCCGGCTCCAAATCCCGGTGGGGCAAATGTATCATAAATACGAGCAAATGTAGTGAAGTCATCGAAGTTTATATGTATTTCTTTTTTTTTATATAGCTAGGTGGGCAAATAACTCTACCCCACCTGATGTTAAGTGCTGATAAAGTCGAAACGCGAAGATAGCTGGTACAGCAATTATTAACTGCTACACCAACCATCCTCATCTTGCCGGCCTACAAAAATGCTTCTTCACGCCTCTTTTAAAGGACCCCAGATTATAGGAAGGAGGAAACACGTGCGGGTAAAGAATTCCACTTACGAATAGTACGACAAAGAAATGAGTTATCAAATTTCTTTGCTCGTGTAGGAATAGTGTCCACAGTAAGTCGGTGGCAACGAGAAGAAAAGGTGATGCAGGGATATGGGAGAATAACTCGGTAGAATGCGCTTAATGATGCAACATCGCGGCGTAATTGTAGAGACTCGAGTTTCTTATTTACCTCTTCATCGCCAATGATGCGGGCAGCGCGCCGCTGCAACCTATCCAAGGCATCAAGTAAGTACTTAGCGGAGCCATCCCACAGGTGCGAGCAATATTCCACGCAGGACCGCACTTGCGTTTTGTACAACAAGCACAGTTGATCGGGAGTGAAAAATCGCCGCACCTTGTTCAGGACTCCGAGTTTGCGTGAAGCTGTTTTAATCACGGTTTCGATGTAGTTCTTTAGATTCAGGTCTGAGCGAACTTCCATACCGAGCATGGTAATGTTGCTCTGTAGTGCCAGTGTCGTGCCCTGAAGAGAGGGAAGGGGAAGGAATGGCGATGTTTATGCCGTGAAAGCGCAAGCTTGAGTTTTCTTGGCATTGAACTTAACCAAGTTTCTGGTACCCCATTCGGAAATGTGATCTAAAGCTTGATTGAGTTCAGCGACAAGATTCTCCCGTTTCTCCTTGGTTTCTACCTGTCCAGCCGCAGCGTGTCCAAAGTATCTCGCATGCACTGCATAGCAATGAATATGCTATCGTTTGCATAGCAATGAATATTCGCAAGTGGAATCAGATCATTGATATGCAGCAGAAAAAGTGTGTGGGATAGAAAGGAGCTCTGAGGAACACCGACATTCACTGACATGAACTGCGAACTACATTTGTCCGTAAGGACGCGAATTCTACGCTCATGCAGGAAGTCAGCTACCCAGGCGCAGAGCTGAGCAAGCAGACCGTAAGCAGGAAGCTTGAAGAGAAGGCTTTTGTGGTAGACCCTGTCAAAAGCCTTGGCGATGTCAAGGCTAATAAGCTAAGCCAGAGACTCTTCCCGCTTGTCTATAGCTCCACCTCAGATATGTGGCACGTACGCTAGCAGGTCACCCGTCAATCGATTCGGCCTAAATCCATATTGACGATCGTGAAACAAAGAGTAATCTTCTAGGTAGCGGGTTAGATGGTTGTTAAGGACCCTTTCTAAAACTTTTCACAACACTGAGGTGACAGCTATCGGCCGATATTTAGCCGGGTCTGACCGGCCCCCGTTTTTGGGCACCGGTTGCACATTGGCATCTCTCCAAGCCTCCGGCACACGCCCCAAAGAGTAAAAGAGTTGGTACAAGCGCGTAAGCACGCAGACAACTCCGTTGCACAATGTTTTTCACTCAAACAGCGCTGAAGGCGTTGGGTGTGCATCGCTGTACAACCAAGCTTCGTTTTACGGGCTGCCATCATGAGAAAAAATTGAGAGACGTCAATCGAGCGGAGTTAGTCGCGACAAAGTCACGCAAATATGAAGAGGCACGTTTTTCCGAGTAACTGCATAAGAAAGAGATACGCCGACCCACCGGACGGAAGGGCCCCCGCACCCCGCAGGGAGTGGCCGCCGGGACCCCACGCCCCGGTCAATAACCGGCACGACGGTCCACCCCGAGATTATGCGTGACATGATGGGGCAGCCTCGCGAACTGGTAAGGAACGCTCCGGCCCCTGTACTGTGCCACGGGCGGCCAGCGGGACAGCCGTTTCTAAGGATCTCCCTGACTGGTGGGTCGATGCAGTCCTCCCGGCTTCGGTACGACGGATGCCTCCACTGGACCGAATCCGTCGCGGCGATCTCCACTCGAGCTTTGGTTGTACGCTGGCTGATCCCGAAATGCGCGTGAAGCACTTCACGGTTTTTTCACCATGCGTACGGTGGTAACAAACCAGGCGGGTGTTAGGTACCCTACCACCAGAAGAGCAGATGGAAGCTCTGATATCCCTCAGTCGCTTCTTACGACACCCGCGGGAAGTGAAGGGGCGGCGAGTGGTATTCTTTCTCCGTCACCGCACGGAATAAAAATACTTATATAAATGTGTCAGTATATTATGTACTCTATTCTTTAAGCATTACAGTGCTTACTTTGGGGCTTGTCAAAGCTTGGCTAATTGGTATGAGTGTCAGAAATATAACTTTATTTCTGTTTTCTCATTAATAATTGTATGACACTGTAATGTAACAACAGCAGAATATTACTGTTAATTTTTGGCAGCTAAGTAAATATACTTAATGGGTGTTAGTAAGATAAAGGACGATTCAAAATATATATTTACACCTAGTTTGAATAAAGAAATTTGGACTAATATTTAGAAATAATTTAGGGCAGAATAAGAGCCACAATTTAAGAGGGTTTTGCATATACATGAAGCTTTTTTATTTAGCTAAATAAAACTCGAAGTAGATGATTGTTTCTATAAACTACATGTCTCAATGGGTAACGTGAAGTGTTTTATCATTTTGGTACGTAGCATTTTAGAAATTCTAAGGCGCAATTAATAAATAGCGTTACGTATTAATTATTTACTTCCAACTTACAAAGCAATGAACTTTAACCACATGATGTATATATGTTTTACTTATCTTAATTTAATATTCTGGTCATCATTGCAAATCAATGCATTTCTTTCTTTCACATGCTTTTTGGTTAGAGTATAATGAAACACAATTTGAAATACAGTATTTATACGTACAAAGTAATTTGTTTAAACATTAAAGCATATCGTCAATTTAGTTTTGTTTTGGGATAAGGTATCGCAATCGTCAAAAGTGTTTTTAAAACAAATCTTATGACTAAAACGATTGCTAAAGTTGAGGCGAAAATGATTGCAGCTAATGCTATAAGGACATCAGCCATGAGGTATTCAGCCCAGGAGATGTTAGCAGCCGGAGAGCGTAAGTGACGAGCACCTTTATGTCGTATAACGTACTCCGTCCACCACACTGCTCGTTCCATCGGAGTCTGAGGCTGGTCGTTTATGATTTCTTTAAGTTTCCTGATGTTGTCTCTATAACTGAAAGAGAAAAGAATGTGAATTTGAAATGCAGACATAGCCATCGTAGAAATAGATCGTAATCAGCTTATTAATGTTCTCGTTGCTAGAGCACAGGCCTTGCTTATGGATTAAATTATGACAGAGTGCTTATTTAAGGTCACTACCGACTGCAGATACAGCCGGAACCGACAGCTGAATACGACTTCCGAAGCACAGACCACTTTTTTAAGGGCGTGGTTTTACAAATCACCTAACAAATGCATTTCCAATCAATTGTTCACCAAAATGAAACACCTAATAATATCAAAACACCTAGCTTAATATTAATTAATATTTAATTGGAAATAATATAAATTATCAGATAAATGTCATCAAAATTATAGATGTGTCACTAAAATTGAATCACCAAACGATATAAAATGTTTACATAAGTAAAAATGGAAAATTCATTTATAATCACTGAAAGAAAATAAAAATTATGAACTAAGTAACCTGAAACTCGATTACATACAATAAAATTGAACTACCATAGGTTTTCTCATTCTCTGAAAGGGGGCTCAAAAATAAAGTCAGGCTCAAGCGCGAAATCATCATCATCAAATTTTGTATGGAAGGAGCCAATTTGTTTTTACGTCCTGTAACGAGGCGCTGTTTAGTTTTCATAGAAACTTGAAGACGATGTGATACAAAACGTTTACGGAGCTGTCACAGTTCATGTTTGGACCTCTGAACTGAACTCAAAAAAGTGTATGTACTTAATCCAATGTAGGAAGTTCTGGGAAAGAAGTAGATTTCCTGGCGCTGATCCGGCCACTGCCGCAGCGCGCTCGCTCGGCTCGCGCGTTTTAGTCGTAGCATTAAGATAACATAACCCTGTGATTCCTATGTTAAATATCTGTTTATAAAACAACAAGTCTAAAACTAGCACTTCATTTTGACAGCCCCCTGCGTGACTTACTTTTTTTTGGAACAGACCTTATATTTACATTGCAGTGAAAAATTATCAATCTTTTTTATATAAATGAACATGAACTTGATGATGATATTTAGAGGCAGTTTTGATTACTATGACTATAATATTTTTGGGATAAACATAATAATCTTTATTGTAACACACCATACAAGACACACAAGTAAATTAAAAACATGATAGACAGAATGTACACAATATGGGCGGCCTTATTGCTAGGCAGCAATCTCTTCCAGGAAATCCATCATTGGAAGATAAATAAATATGAAGGAGAAAAAGAGGGGTGTAATAGTGGCGTATGCAGCAAAAAAAACTTTTTGACCGCCTCCACCTGAGGCTTCCAAGAAAAACACTGATCAAAGATAACAGCAAGATTTATGACAGTGCTTGACCAAGGAATAATGGTTCCGTGTCAAAGGTAAAAGGAGATAGATGATCAAAATCAATCATGGAAACAAAGTTCAGAATCATGGAAGAAGCTGTAACGCAAAAAGTGCTTAACAAAAAAAAAATGTTTTACCCCAAGACAATTAATACTGAATTTGGTTTCTACCTACCCTCTCATTACAAAAATATGTGTCATATTTTATCATGTCAAGTTTTTTAATACACTCTCATTAAGTTATTTTGCTAACTTGTAACTGCAGTACCATGGTGTTACTATGGTGCTGAGTTAATATTCACTTTTGTTGTATTAAACATTTAAGAAAGATATAGCAAATAAGAAAGATATTAAAATATAAAAAAAAATGATAGTCATTTATTCAGTGTAGAAAAGATACGTGGTATTCATTTAAAGCAGTAGTAAAAAAAATCTTGGGCAACCATAAATCAGAAGAAAGAAGAAATTGTTTCCAATTTGTTGAAGAATTACCATAAGATGGGGTTGAATATGTCATTAAAAATTCATTTTTTACATTCGCACCTGCTTTTTTTTTTCCTGAGAACCTGGAAAGAACATGGTGAACGTTTTCATCAAGATTTGAAGATTTATAAAGAGAGGTAGTTTTTGGTACCTCTCTTCATAAGTGATTACTGCTGGTCTATATTAAGAGAAACTGATTCCAATCAGTATAAAAGAAGAAGTTATCTATGTCATTTTTGTTTTTTTGTAGGTCACACATAAAAAAATTGTTAAAAACAAACATAGTAAATCTTTAAAAAACTTGACGTCTCGACTTTTTTTCCCACTTCAGTATCTAACATAGGGTTTATTTACTGATTCACATCTTCATTTTCAATAGATTTATGAATGTAGCGTCTATTATTATTATTAGGCTATTGCAGATTAACGATAAATCTAAACTTAGGTGACATAAGATATTGTTGCCCTTTTTTAATGTTTCAATCTGAAAAAAAAGCGACGGGTTCCACTCCGTGAGTGTTGGCAGAAGTGAAAACTTGAATATTAACGTTGTGCATTTTTGATATTTTGGAATGGTTAGGGAATAACTTTAAAACGAATTGCTATAATTATAATTAAAGTGATACTGATAATTATCAGTATAAAAGTACTATCATTTATGTGGTAGAATACAATATTCATTACACAAACATGACAATTTATATTGCATTAAAAAAGTTTATCTCTCAGAAAAATCAACTTACATGACTGACGTTTAAGCGCACTTAGCGACATTTATTGTAAAAAATCAACTTACATGTATCACATTTAAGTGCACCTAGCGACATCTATTGTAAAAAAATGCATTTTCTTCACAATAAAGTTGCCACCTAGACGTCCTAGATAGAGACTTATTTCCAATTTTATTGTTTTTGTCAAATCCCCGATCAGGCCTCGTGTCATGACGCGATCAGCCCACATATCCTGACGCGAGTTTAACATTTTTTACCGATACAAAAAAAGTGTACAACGCCGCTAAAGAAGTTTTCACTCACAAAAATATGGATCTCTTCATAATTTTTATAGATTTGTTTACGTCTTACGTGTTTGTGTAAACTTTTATGAAATTAATCGTAATTGTTATTATATTTTGGAACATACTACTCTACGAGTGAACCAATAGTTTAAATCAGGTGAATAAAATCTCTTTTATCATTATTTATAACAGCGGGTAGGTTGGCGTGCAAGTGAGTGAGTGTATTTGACGTGATTCAAAATTGAAACAAACCTTTCGTCATTTATGACCTTTTTTATTCCATCAATCAGTATTTTAGCATTTAGCGTGGTGACATCAAGACTTAACCCAATACCAAATTGTACGTGTTTGTGTGCATTGAAAAATTGGTCTGCGAGGATTGGAATAGTGACTAATGGTACTCCAGCATCAATAGCTTCATCAGTAGATTGCAAACCTCCTTGCATTACAAACAGTTTAATATTATGGTGTGCTGAAAAAATAACAAATATAATGTATGCTATGATCTTATACAACTTTTTAATATGATTTCAAAATCCTGGTTTTCAAAAAATAAATATCTACCTAGTTATTTAATACTAATTCAGATTTTTTTTAGAAAATATTTATATAACAACAAAATCCTTACTATAAATTCACAAAATAAATATCTACCTAGTTATTTAATACTAATTCAGAATTTTTTTAAAAAATATTTATATAACAACAAAATCCTTACTATAAATTCACAATCATAATGAGCAAAACTAAAGATTACCTAATAAGTCTCTTTGAGGGAACCATTCTTGAATTTTCACATTTTTTGGGATTCTTTTTAAGACTTTCTTATCAAATTTCCATAATATGTTATTCAAAATAAATATCTACCTAGTTATTTAATACTAATTCAGAATTTTTTTAGAAAATATTTATATAACAACAAAATCCTTACTATAAATTCACAATCATAATGAGCAAAACTAAAGATTACCTAATAAGTCTCTTTGAGGGAACCATTCTTGAATTTTCACATTTTTTGGGATTCTTTTTAAGACTTTCTTATCAAATTTCCATAATATGTTATAAGGGAGTTCTTCAAAAGCATCCAAAAACGAATTTATCAATTCTTGGTTAACAAGAGATGGTCTTACGTTAGTTCCCAGACTGACGTAAATCACACCAGTTTTTGAATTGTCCAAGAACGACTTTAATTCCTGTAAATGCAATTATTCAAAAAGACTAATTGAGAAAGGTATAAGACACTATGTATCTATAATATTCACATTAATTTTAATGATATTTTAACTAATTTAAAGTGTGTCTGGTTTTCTGTCTCTCTGTAACCTCTTCACGCTTCAATTTGTTATGTAAATGGTCTGGAGTCCCGGCAAAAAACTAAGGATAGTTTTTGTCCCAGAAATTATCCCTTAAGGTACTGAACAAGGGAAATACATTTCTGCAAACTAGGATCTGGTTTTTATGTAGTCGACGTGACATTAACTATAGTTCAATTTTACTAACGATAAAACAACGCGGCCTAAATAAAACCAAAAAGCACGCACGAGTACATTATTATTTAGCGTTATCTGTATCTAAAATAAAACAGACTAAAAATCGAGTCTCACTCCTTGTCAAACACACAGCAAATAAACTCACACTTTTTTGTACATCAGACTATAATTAAAAAATATATTATGTAAATTTCATACCTGTGGCAATTCTTTTAACGGTTGCAGGTGTAGTGGTCCTACAAAAGCTACGTTTGAGGGCACTGGTCGATTGTTGCAAAACATTTGGTTTGAGTTTATGAAAAGAAAATCAACGTTATTTTTTAATTCTGAAACTGTTGGGGTATAAGGACCATATTTGAGTTTAAGCAGTTGATTTTCGTATTCTTCAACTAGATACATCACCTTCATATATTCGTATTCCTCTTTTATCTCGGATATTTTTTCGATGAGAGTCAAATTACTAAATTTTTTTCTCATTATTAATGGGTAGAAAATGGGATGATGGGCTACGGCACCCACAATTTCAAAGTTTTCAGTGAGACCATTAAATGATGTCATGAGAATTACTGGAGCATTAAATATCTCGGTAAATATAAGGTGATAATTTAGAACACCTTCTATTATAATCAAATCAAATTTTTGACTTTTGTCTTGAATCAGTTTTTCTACGTCTGGATGCTTCATTTCCTCAATATATAGTTCTAAAAACATTTTATATATGTCGACTGCAATGATTGTTTCTGCTTGATAAAGCACATTCTGAATTTTTCTAAAATTTTCATAAATAAAACTGACATCAATTTCGGTGATATTATATGGTGGTCTTGTTTTGTGGAAGACTGGGTCCGTGGTTATCACAACCAGTTCGTGTCCTCTTCTCGCAAGTTCCAATGTTAACGCTCTGAAAACGAACTGATGGCTTATAGATGGTAATAGAAACACTCCTAATATACGAGCTGAGTTCACAGTTGCGGCAAACAGAACTGTAGACCAAATTGTGTTCGATATCAACATTTTAATAATTTATTTTCCAACGTACACTTCACTTATTTGGTTTTTAACAACAAGTGGTAGAGTCGTGAAATGTTCATGTTCATAAATTTTTCTACGAGGGCCTTTAAAGATAAGAGTGTAATATAGATATTTACGATAGTAAATATAAACAACATGTGCAATAAAATAGATGATGATGAGGCCATAACCAATGATGACAATAGTAATCATCCAAAAGGTACAAACAGTCACACTTCGTTGCCACAATAAATCAATAAATGACAAACTTTCTCAAAAGATGTGAAAAGAAGTTAATAATAAGCTCAAAGACAGTTAAAGTAATTTGTCTCCTTTGAGAAACTTGACCTGAGGCTGTCAGTACTATGTCTGGTAGAGATACTGATGTACCAAAAGAGCATGACCATCATATTTTGATAAAAACATCGGAAAGGACGCCTCATGCTCCTCCTCCTTACACGATTTGCCCAACAAATAACACTTTCGTCTTTGGTATTTCATTTTACAACTAGTATTCTATAGAATACTTTGCTAAAATAACACTATATTTTGTTTCTGTCAACGGGTATTTTCATTTATTTGCGTTGAACACCACTTTTGAATCCTAGTTTGATATTTTTGGAACTGTTGGTATCGTGTTACTATCGATGAGAAAAGTTTCCAAGTCTTCACGGGTTTGGAAAGAGTGAGTGAGGGTAGGCGATGAGTGAGCGAAACTGTACCATACCGTCGTCGTCGTCGCAAGCCTCTAGGCTATGGAGGCCGCTTACCATTAGATGGGTTATTTTGCCACTCATTTCCTGTAAATTAAAAAATAACACAAAATTGTAGTTATATATTTAAGCATTTAACTGCTAGATGTTTAAATCTAAGGAAAACGTTTACTAGAAAAAAATCCACGCGGTTCAGGCAGCAGACGGGTCAAAAAATTGATCATTTGTGTTCAATGAAGGTTTTAGTAATTTTCAAGTTAATAACTTATCAAACAATGTAAATCTCAGAGAAAAGAAAGTAAAACTGCTGACGAAATTTTATATGAATAGAAAAACAATATGCTTACAGGATTTCCTTACTCTAGCTGCTATCCTTTGTGTTTTCGGCAGCGTGTGACGTTAGAATTTAATTTTGAGTCACACACAATCGAACGTTTGTTGTCGAGAGAAATAACGAACATTGACTGTTAGGCCGAGGCCGCACTGGTACGGCGACAGCGACGCGACGGAGAGCGGTACAAGCGAAATTGCGTCTTTAGTGAATTTAAATTGAATTTAGAAATTTCTTTATTTTCATATTTAAGCATAATGTTATATACAGTTAAATTATTATAACATAATTTAAATAAAACTTTCAACAAAGTTATTTATTGACAATAACATAATCATAAAAAAAGTTAATTTCAAATATCAGTAATATTTCAAATTAACTTGTTTTTATAATTTGGTATCAGTCAGTGTCAGTGTATCCTACTCTCTCTTTATATAATAGTATAGAATAGATGTGTTAATAAAAAAACTATTACTAAATATGACAAAAAGCAAAATATGAAAAATTAAAATATGTATATAATTTTCTCAACTCGTGGTAGAAATAATCCACTTACACAGACCTCGTCTGTTACAGCTGTATATTATTATCTTACTTTCAAAAGTACTTTTCTACTTTAAATGCCTGTTACTAACAAGTAAGTACTGGGGGTTAACAGAGAATTAGTGTAATCATAATACCCTGGTTCCCAATTAATTTTCAATTACATTTTTTAGGCTTACCATATATATATATATATATATATATATATATATATATGCACAATCTCTATAGCACGATTCAGCAGATGTACCGAACCTTTAGCTAAACACGTAATTGCAATCTCTAGCGAAACTTTTTAGCTAACAGTTATAACCCTATTCAGTTATTCATTGCGGTTTTTGAGCTAGCTTATTTATAACACAAGATAGTTGTACTTAGGCCAACTCTAAGTAAATAATCACCTCCAGTGTGTTTGATTATAACAATACATTGTTATGTTAAAGATTACCAAAATCGAATTTGACAGCTTATGAGTGGATTTCAACAACTATAAACTTTTCATAATTGTGGTGGATTTTTTTCGAAATTAAGAACAAGTGATATAACTCAATGCGAAAACAAAGTATTGTGTAAAAAAATATTACAAAATATTGTTTTAAAAGCCTTAATAATTTCTATTATTTATGACACTGAAATTGTCACGACACCAAAAATGATGCTATACTGAAGCAATTATTTTGTAACCAATTACTGAACAAGTGTAAGAATTATCAAAATCATATTTATTTATAACAAAACATTTTTGTAAAGTTTACATAACTGTTTTATTATAAAAACAAAACTATTTTAACAAAACCGAGTTTGTCTACTAGGAACTATAGTTATGTAGTCACTACTTTTATGCAATCGGTACTAACAATTTTTTTTGTTAGAAGGAACTTATAACTTTTTCCCTGTGATGACATCATGAAAATTGTCCTAGGGACTGTGTGATATGCTCAAGGAGAAGTTTGCATCTCACACAGTCTTAGGAATTCAGTAGTCATCAGAAAATGCGTTTTTAATGTTCCGCACGGAAAGGGTACTTTAACCCCCTATTACAAAAAATTAACTGTTCTTCCGTCCATTGATCCCTGTCAGCGAGCTGTATGTCAGAAGCCGTTACAGGTAAACAGTTAAAATTTTCAAAGATTATGTGATTGTGTCTGTGTTTCCTTTGCTCTTACTTCAAATAATATTAAAAAATAAAATTTAAATTGATGGGATGAAAAGGCCGATCTTGTACAGTGAAACGGAACAGTTAGTGAGCGTGTTCGATTCACTCTTGTAACCGATTTTTTTCTTTACTCATTGCTTTTGACACATCAATTCCATGTAAGTACTAAAATGTAATAATAGAATTTTTAGTCCAACCATTGTACCTAAGTATAATATTATATTACAAAGTGTCTACGGGAAAAATGAAATTTCTACAATTCCTGCCACAAATAATAAGGCCGGGGCCGCCCTGGTACGGCGACTACGCCGCGACGGCGATTCCGTGAAAACAAACTCATACTAACATAAATGTCGGTGGTCGTACTGCAGGGTAATGAAAGCATTAAATCCTATTTTAAACAGAAAATCAAATCTTAGTCCCGAGTCAAATTTAAAGCTAATCATGTTTAAGCCTAATTCTGTATTTCTCAATTATTAGTACAAAGATGGAATAATGTCTTAAACATGATAAAATTCCACTTTGATGACAGTGGGCTTCAAAAGCTGAATTGGTTGAAAAATCTGAACTTGCGACTATTTGGGGCAACGGTCAACTTTTTCAACATTTCTTTAAATCAGAATTGGAATTGAAAAGTCTCTGATAACCGAACTTCTATTTTTGGTGTAATTAAACAATTTTGGTGACTGTTAATCCACCACAAAAATTCTCAAACTTATTTCATTTTCAAAAAAGTATTAGAATGATATTGAATATTTACACGCATTTGAAAATTGCCTTAAACTCGAACTATCTTAGTTTAAATTATGCATTTTTTTCGTCATGAGAACATTAATGCGTATACACCAAAATTGATAATATTTTATCAGATTGCCGATACTTGTTTTCAGAATTTTGTTTGTATTTGTTATTCCACGCAGTAGCGTGGAATTATACATACACATGTTTTTATTTTGTGGCGAGGCGGAAAACAGTAGTTTTCCGCCTCGCCGCATAATATTACTGCCGGGAAAAATCGCCATTATAACAAAATGGATTAGTATAAATATAAATATTTCCAACACGCACACCAATTAGCCTAGTCCTAAAGTAAGCACTGTAAGGCTTGTATTATGGGATACTAGGGTAAGGGATATAATATATATGCTGTACATTTATAAGTTTATTTATAAACAAATACATATTAAATATCGGGATTTGAACTCGGGACCTCTCGATTCGGCGACACCTTGAAACCCGGCGTACAAACCACTTGGTCGCGGAGGTCGTCATTATATGTAGTTTTTAACTAAACTCGATTAACTGAAATGCTAATGTAAAATGCAACAGAACAGTTGGTATATGAGTGACTGAAATTTATTTATTAGTAAACAAAGTTTGACTATTCATCAGTTAATTCAACTAGTTTCGTTAATTATTTTTTCATCGCATTTCTGTGATCTCCGGACGAGTTAAAGTAGAAAAACTTTCCTGTATAGGAGTGAAGTAAACTTCTTAGTCTTTCAGTTAGAATAAAAAAAATATATGGACACACATGTTTTCTTTTGTCAATCAACCAAAAACTTACAAAGATAAAGCGAGTCAAAGTTTGGGATTGGGGGCTTGTGACGTCACTTCAAAGTAAAAATTGTAACAAAACGTGACGTCATGCGACATTTCAAATCAATATCCTATCTGAGTAATGTGTTCATTATATAAATAGAGAAGAAGTCATCATAGTTATTGTCTTAAGTATGGCTGTTAGTAATCCTTTTGTTGTTATTAGAAAGGTAATTAATTAGGATTAGAGCAAGTATCTAATTTTGTTGCAAAGTTTCTTGCTGGTTCCTCTCACTACAGGGTCTGCTGCCCTATGATTGGCGAACTAATTAAGCAGCACACAAGTTCTTATTACATACTAGCGGTCCGCCCTCGCTTCGCTTCGGTGTAGAGCTGAAGTGTAGACTACAGTTTTTGTTCTCAGGCTTATATTCTACACAATGACATTCATCTATGATTCTTCTTATACCTGCATGCAAAGTCTCAGCCCAATCGGTTTAAAATAGACAAAGTTTCATACAAACTTTCATTCCCTATTTTATCCCCTTGGGGGTAGAACTGATCAAAATCCTTTCTTAGCGGATGCATACGTCATAACATCTACCTGCATGTCAAATTTCAGCCCGATCCGTCCAGTGGTTTGGGCTGTCCGTTGATAGATCACTATGTCAGTCAGTCACCTTTGAGTTTTATATATATAGATTAGACTGAAGAAATTAGA